GAAGACCTGGCTCTGCCACTTGGCCTGGGGTGGGGAGGGAAGACATCAAGCGTGGGGATGGTTAGCCCCTTAGAGGCCTGTCATCTGCAGCTCGGGAAACCATCAGCCTCTTGGACTTTTTCTTTTTTCTTTTCTTTTAGTAACATTTTGTACAGTTTTTATATTTTATGTGATTTTATATATATTTATTGTTTTAATGGATCATGTGAGCCGCCCAGAGTCCCCCATTAGGGGAAGATGGGTGGAGATAAATCAAATAAATAAATAAATAAATAAATAAATAAATCTATCTGATTATAATTCAGTTCTAGGTTTTAGAAGTGCAAAAGGTTTAACTTTTCTGCATTAGACTGTATCTTTTAAACGCACTTTCTAAATTGGATTAAATGTTGTAATAGACATGATAAGAAAAGTTTTGATGGTGACAAGAGACTTTTTTCTATTTCCACCAACAGTTAAAGAAATAAAAAGGTAGGTGTTAAACTTATACAGAGCAATTCTGTCACCAAGATACACTGCCTGAGCATTGAGAAATTGAAAGAGACCTTCCTACTGCTAGGGAGGTGCTCCCCTGGCAGCCTGGTTCACCTGTTTTCTTTCCAGCAATAGCCAGTACTGTATAAATCCTGACAGCAAAGTATTTTGGAAACAGATCACAATTTTGGATATTATGGCTGTGGAGTCCTTGTACTCTGTGAAGGGTCCCGGAATTTGTCCCTTCAGCTACACCAGTAAATACCCTCCCTCCCTATTTATGGGTGGTTTAATTTTTTTTTTTAAATTAGAGGAATTTAAAGAAAATAAAAACCTATCAGTTGGGAAAGAAATATACTTACTGGCATGAGCCTTGTCAGGTATTTGGAAGTGGAACACATTATGTTGCTCATCCCTTCCCTAATCCTAATGAGGACTGATCTGTTGGGAATTAGCTTGTTATTCTACGTTTTGTATCATTCATTGCTATGAATTTCATTTTTTCCATCAGCTTCATCTCTGATTTCACTTGAGTGTGCGGAAAGGCCAAACAACTTTCTTTATGTCCACAACGACAACAGCATTTTCTTAGCACAGTGGGATGCAAGTTTGTCATTTCGTAGAAGAGCAACTTTTATCCATCACCAAGGACTTTGGATCTCTGGTTATAGTGCATTTGAACTGCACAGCAAAAAAGGTTTCTTCATTACACTTAGCACTTCAGCAGTGAAAATATCGAAGTTTGATGACACTGAAGAATTCAAAAGCTTAAGTAGCTTCAGTATCGAGGGTGAGTTATGCATCATGGTGTGTGGGAGACACCGCCAATAAACTTTACCAAATCATAGTTACAGTCCTTACTTTGAAATTACCCATATAGAAACTCTTTTGGGAATAAAGAGATTTATTCAGTGGACTTTGGGTGAATCTTTATAGGATTGTATCTTTTATTTATAGGATTAAGTAGCTTTTATTTGGAAGGACAATGTATGTTTCATCATAAATACTTACTGCATGGCCTACATTCCTCAGGGCATCTACAATATGTGATTTCAGAAAAGACACACAATTCTAGAAGTTTGCACAGTGCATATATAGCACTATATTTGTTTGGGGGGGGGGCAGAAAGAGAAGTATTTTTCAGTAGGGAAATGGCCTGAGGGAAATTTTTAGAGTAAATTCCTCCATATCATTTCTGCCAGCTTCAGCTATGGGTTATAGAGAGAAATACATCCATTTACAAAATAATAATTTTTAAAATTTCTTAGAACTCCATGCAGCAATACCTTACAGGAGGATGTGTGAATGGAGATATGAACCTTGTACAAGTCCTTGTGTTAAAACATGCAATGATCCTGAAGGAACAGCATGCAAATTTCTTCCACCGTGAGTAAAAGGAATATTTATCGTAATAATATTATTTTCTCAACTGGAGATGTGTACAAATAACATTACGTTGACTTTTTGTTTTTTTATTACTTTAGTTTAGAAGTTCTACAGAGTGAATAATTCTCCCATTCAAGTATTTTAAGTTCTGGATAATGCACACATGCAAAATAATTGCTTGTATTCTATTTTTCTTGAATCTTTTATTGTAGGGTTGAAGGTTGCTTACCGTACTGTCCAAAAGATATGATCCTAGATGAAGTCACACTTAAATGTGTTTATCCAGAAGATTGTAAGTGTCCTTTATATGATGTTCTTGCATTGCCAAAAAAAAATATTTATTTATTTACTTATTTGGGGGGGTTGCCCATGGAAATTGGGAGACTCTCAGTGGATTACAATCATAATAATAACAACAACAACAAATCCAGGGTACAATTACAGTTATAACTATAATAAAAAAAATGTAGTCCCCCTAAATTAAACAACAGATAAAATAATTAACCAAACAACCAAAAAGCATTGGAAATTGATGGTGGCATCTATTAAATGAAAGCCTAACAAGTAGGACTTGATTGGATTTCATGGTGCAGAAGTTTTGTAATATTGGTGCTATCCCAGAGGTACAACATTTGTGAGGCTCCATCCTGCTAATCTGACAGAAATGGGGGGCTATGAATAGATTGTCCTGGGAGATTTGCATTTGGAGGGTTGAAAGTAAGTATAGGCAACAGTCCTGGAATATACTGGTTACCCACAATAGCAGTCAATAGTTTTGGCTTCATTTCATAACATTGTTATTCTGTTAAGATTGTAAAAGGTATGCCATTATTTTAATATTTTAGGAAGCAAATTATATAATAATAGTGAACACAGATCTTCAAATATAACTTCTGCAGTAGCCAATGGGAAAGATATCAGACGCTCAGGGAAACATTGATGTCTGCAAATGCTTAAAATATTTTCTTAGAAAACTGTATCCTGAGACCAATTTAGGCTGAGCAAAGGAAGTGAGTGTATAATGGTGAAGGCGGGAATGGAAATTCAAAAGGAAAGGAAATAGAGTAGATACATTGTACATGAAAATTAGCTTTGATTTCTGCATTTAGCATTGAAACAGTGACACCAGTATGAGATTACATTTCTCACTTTCCATGTTCCTTTTCAAAATTATGGAATAAAACTTTTTTTTTCAGGCATCCCTGTGAAACCAACAGAACCTTTATTTGGAACCAAGCCATTTAGAACAAGCCCTACAATGCTAAGTTCCCAGATAAAGAATACATCAGAAACATTTTCTCAAATGCCTCCTATATTAGATATTGAAGAGACTGAACCAACATATATTAACTTAACCACCAACATGACAACTGAACCAACAGCAGCCAAAGATGCTTATTCAGCAATGGTATCTCATTCAAGCATGCATTTACCTGATTTGTTACCAGGTTCAGAACTCTTTTCTGAAGACAGCTACAACACAACAATCCCACCTGTGCTGCTTACATCTCTATCTCCAACAGCTTTCCCAATTACTTATGAAGCTCCAGTGGTTAGTGTAAAAACAATATCCTATAGTAAAACTCCTATTTTCTTTTCACCACCTACCCCTGCAACGATTGCTGTACCATCAGTGACTGCTTTTCCTTTAATAAGTAAGTCAACTACACCACTAGAGGTTGCAGCTCCTTCTATGGTGGTAGCTAGAACTCTTCCAACTTCCACAATACTGACAGATTCACTCTTAACACAAACATTTGCTGTAACTTCAGGAACTAGTTCTTATCTGTCTACACTTACAACAACTATGCCTCGAACTCCTGCATTTACTTCTAGATTTACTTCATTTGCCTCAAGTCCACTTTATAGTATTTCAGTTTCAGGTTCAGTGACCATTCAACCAGATTTGAAATTGATAAATAAAACATTAATGCCTGCATCTGTATCATCACAAAAAGCATTTCTGACACCTTCTGAACATATTACTTCCTTAACCACAAAACATTTTTCTACTGTTGCTGATCTAATTAGTAAAACAACAACTTCAGTTGTGACACAAAATCCTATAACAATAAAATCTTTTAGTCCCAAAATAACACAGAGAACATCAACATTAATACCTCCTCCAATTACATCTCAAAGGCTCAAAGGAACAGGGGAAGTGACACTTATTTCAAAGAGTTTTCATTTGAGGCCTTCCACAGGTTCTCTTCTAGCAGTTCCTCAGATTTCCAAATCATCTGAGGCAAGTACTGTTTCAGCAGAAAGTAAGCATGTGTTGCGTGCAGATTCATCTCCAATTCCAACTGATTTTATAACTTTGTCAGAGTCTGCTGGTACCAAGGTGACAAGTAGCATTCCAGTATTGCCTATTAAGATTTCACAGGATGAAGCACAAATAACTTATGAACCATTTGGTTCATATCCAGAATCAAAAATTGCATCAACAGTTAAAAGTGTTGATACTTTCACTACTTCAGTTCAGTTTCCAGAAACCTCTCTTAAAATGTTGACAACAAGAGCTTCTACTCCTCAGATTTCTGTTACAGCATCCCATTCTGGAAGTTTATCAGCAGTTCCCACCACTTCTGCTGTGGTACCAACTAGCACTGATATACAAATGCCTGTTATATCAGTAAGTGACCATTTGACCTCAACAAGTTCAAGTTCTTATCCTTCAGCTATTCCTTTGCTAACTTTAACTACAAATACTTCCACTATACACACTACATCTTCAGTTCCTTTGACTGCTTTTGATATATCAACCATATCTTTGGGAACAAGAAGGCCTTCTTTGACTTCTTCAGTGGATAGGAGAACTTTATCTTCATTAACAAGTGCATCCATCTCTCAGTATGAAGAACCAGCAATGGAATCAGCTTTGACTCTGGGCATACTTTGGAATATTACATCAACCCCACAAGATATTACTGAAAAGTACTCCATCAGCCCCTCAGAAAGTTGGCTAGTTTCCTCTACTGGCACAATAGCTCCTCACAAAACTGCTGAAGTTACTGAATTTCCCCCTATAAGTTTTGATTTTCACACAACTACTTCAGTCCCTGTTCCTGCTGTCTTCCAAGAACCCACGTATTTTCCAAATGTTACTTTCTTTACACCTAAACCATGCAAAGAAGCTCTACGAACTATGCCCTTAGAAATGGATAAAGTACCTATTTCAGGTTGGGTAGAAACAGGAATAACCCAGGCTTCCAAATTTCAAAATGCAACAAGCACTTTGTATGCTTTAGGAAGTAATAAAACTTCAGAAGGAAACATCACAAAATATGCAAGGACTGAAAAGCCATCTCTAGCATTTGTTCAGAAGACTGTGTCTGCTGGTGAAAACAGCACAGCTTCAGTAAAACCAGTTTCTCTCTCTGAGGGGACAGACATAACATTATCTGATTGGTCTAGGATTCCACCCACAGAATCAATTAGACCTTACTACAGTGTGACTAAACCAGAGGAAGTAAGTATCATTAGCTCACAGAATTTCACCATGGCAGATTCATCACATGTCACTGCAAAACTTTTGGAAACCCAAACCACAAAGGCTGAAGTTGAAATAATGACAGCAGAGAGTGAAGAACGTGCTTCATCTGGCACAATAATACATACGCTTGTATCTGTGACATCCTCAGAATGCACGGTAAAGATAGTTTTGTTTTGTTTTGTTTTTCCTTTTCCTTTTTATGTTTTAATATCTCAAGTGATACATGCTGTATTGGAGAGTTTTCCAGTTTTTTCAGGCCATGGAACCTGTTAGTTAAAAAAACAAACAAACTGGAACCCCTGATTAAAAGGAGTGGGGCTTCTGAATTTCAGATGACAAGCCCCACTTTTTCCACTGATCCTAAGTGACTAAGCGGCGGGGGGGGGCTTCTCTACGAGGACTAAGAGGAAAAAACCCCTCTTTTTGCAAGGAACTTAATGTCCCCCCCTTAGTCCCTTACAGACAGTTTGAAAAACTCTGATCTGTGGAATCTGTCAAATGATACAGTATCCATGTTAGCTTTATTCTGATAGAAGGAACAAATTAGTCAGCCAGGATCCCTGATAGGGAGGAATCAGTTTCCATGTGAGTGGTTTTCTAGTTTAATTGATGTGAACTGGACCTAAATGGTTAATTTATGAAAAGATTCTATGTATCATTTTCTAGGCTATGGAATAAGGAATCTTCCAATAAGAATATAAGTATCCATTAACCTAAGATAAAACAATTTATGTTCTATGCCACAGTTTTTTTGATACAAAATATGCTACATTATTTTTTACTTATTTTTATGTTTCAATATCTAAAATTCTTGAAACTTTCCTATTTCCCAGTGCTACATTGATAAATCTAATCTTTAATTCCACAGAAGACTTAAACTGGTATAGAATTTATATTTATTTTCCATGTAAGTTGTTTCATTAGTGAGCTGTTCATAAATATAACCAGCAATCTACACTATTGAGTGTGTGCTTCCTCTGAGAATGTTTTTGTGTGTGCGCCTTGGAGTCAGTCCAAGTTGCTTTCTTGGCAACATTTTTCAGAAGTAGTTTATCCTTGCCATCCTCCTAGGAGTGAGTGAGTGAGTGAGAGACTGACCCAAATTAACCAGTTGTCTTTGTGCCTAAGGCTGGACTAGATCTCAGTTTCCTGGTTTCCAGCCCAGTGCCTTTAACCACTACACTAAACTGGCTCTCCAAATGTATTTGCATATTTATTTATTTATTTGTCAAATTTATATCACCGCCCAACTCCCCCACAAGGAGGGACTCTGGGCGGTTCACAACCAAAACCAATAAAAACGTAAATTATACAGCATAAAATACAATTATTAAATTGTAATCATACAATGTTTCAGTGGTAAATGCATCCCTTATGGTTATTACAGCAGGCTGGAAGTAGCATCACCGTGCCTTGGAATGACCCAACTCATAGCTGGGAATTGCACCGCTCTGACTGCTGTAGGATGAGCTAGCAGGATCCCTTAATAGCACATTTACTTATAACTATTATGACTGATAAAATTAGTGTTATTATAATTATGCATCACATGCCAACCAAAAGGATCATATGTGTGGTAATCCAAAAGATCTATATTTTGTTTAATAAATCTACCCATGAACCTACATATTTCTGAGGTTTTATGGCAACTGTTTATAAAAATATTTATGATGCCATTATGTCTAATGACTCAATTTATTTTCCCCATCACGGAGTAGCCAAGATACCTTGATCCTATAGACAAATGTAGTCAGTACGTGTGCATAAACATGGAATGGATGCTGTACAATCTTTCAAGGAACTGCCATAAGAATGTGGAGAAACCTGACTGTGGTTTTCGAGGGATGCCAGTTCAGATCAACAGCGACAGCTGCTGTCCTGAATGGGAATGTCCTTGTAAGTCTTTGCATTATATTAGATTATATATGAAACAGAGAAACCTAAACTTGCATTTTAAATTACAGGAAAATGCTGCCATGGAAATCACAGAATGCCAAATAATTTGTACCCTATTTTAGCTGTTTGCATCATTTTTATTCCTCATTTATTGAAATTTATTCATTTCAGTATTGTACAAACAACTGGCTTGATATATCCTTGCCTGACACATGCATTTCTCATTAAGAGAATAAGATTTGAAGGTCTGAGTTGAAATAACAAGCTATCTGATAATGGCTGCTATATGCCCAGAATGATAAATCAGCTTTTTGACTTACCAGCATTCTGGTGTTTGCTGGTTTATCTTGCCACCAATTATAACTAAGTCAGACAATTCTCTGGTGACTGTTGTGTCTGATGAACCAGCAATATCCCTCTGAATGAACCCGAATCTCAGATAATTATTTGTTACTAACTCAGGTAAGATCCAACAAAAACTAGCCATAATTCTTGCTTTGTACAATACCATAAAAAGAATATATACAGTACTTCCATCTTACAAGAAATATTCTGTATTGCACAGGTATCATTTTACATACTTTATAAAGAAAGTACCCTGTTTATGATTACAATATATTGCAAACTGATTTTGGTATATACCCTACTGAAATCACAGAGTACTTCTAAGTAAACATGGACAGGAGTGTAACTGTATGATTTCTTAAGCAATTATTTTTATTATTACTAAATTCAGTGTAATTGTAATTGATTCAATGCATAATTACAGACTGAAAAAGGCCTGAAATCTTAATGGGATCTCATTAACTGTCATTTTTTCCTTAGGTCAGTGTTCTATCCTCTCTGAACTAAGTATCATTACATTTGATGGAAATAATGTAGCATTATATAAAGTAGCGTCCTATATTTTAGTCAAGTTACCCACAGAAATTATTGTGGCTCATATTGAAAAATGCCCCACCAATCAGGTAGGAACCCTATGTAGTACCTTGCAATAATTAACATTTTATATTATAAAAACTAAGGATAGAATCAAAACTTTTTCAGTGCTTTGACCTTTTTTTTGTATTTCTATATTTGTAAATGTATTTCCTATAATAAATATAAAAAAGTGTGTTTCACTTTTGTATTATACCTGAACTATATTGTTAATGATTCTTGATGATTCCACCATGAATAGAATAGGACTAATGCAAATTACATATTTTGCATCATTTGTGTGAAGGAACCATGATACATGTGATATCACTCCTCTCCTCAAGATACACATGAGGGGACTCAGTAATAATATTTACTACAGGGCTGGGATGATGTTGTTTTTATGTGACAACAAATCTAACTCATTTTTAAAACTATTTTTCAGAGTGCAAATTCAATAAGAAAACTAGTGAGTATTTTTCAAGTACAGTTGTTAATACCTCTAGCATTATTTAGGCGTTAGTAATCTGCTAATTGTTTTAGTTTCAGAACACTTTGTTCTTTCTTTTCAAGGTTCCAGCAGGAAGTGCTTCGGGTCTTTGTTTTAAGAAACTTAACGTAACAATACCACCTTTTGCGATTCTTATTAACCGCTTAGCAAGAAAGGTGAGTTAAGCTTTTGGGGAACTGTAGAATGCCACTGCCAAAATGTGATTACTTAGGCAATCCAGTGGCTCTACAGGCATAAACTAACTGGCTTTAATAAATAAAAGGCTACTAATAATGGAAAGCTTAACAGCTGTGATTATCTTTCTATCTATAATGTATCAGCTATCAACTACAAATATTAAAATAATTTACATTAAACTGCCTGACTAAAAAGATATATCTTAATTACTCTTCTAAATGCAGAGGAGCAGACAAATTACTCTGAGGAAGTATATTCTATAGTTTGGAAGTGGTCCAGGGAACAGGCTAAAGATCTTAATATCGGGACAAGTTCATAACAAGAGAGGCAGTCCTTTAGATAATCAACCCCTAAAATGTTTAGGACTTTAATAGATTATACCAACACTTAAATTTGTGCCCAGAAAATAACCTGGCAACTGGTTTCCATTTTTCAGCCTTATATATTATGTTATGAATATTACTTACATTTGTCATGATTTTTAAAAACTAGAGTAACACCTAATCAAAAAATACTCCCCAAGCCAACATGTCATCTTCAATATTTGCTTTTCAAGGAATAAAATTGAGTAGGAGAATCAATTCACATATCTTCAAATTTGTCCTTAATTATGTTTTCTTGTTCCTCTGTTGTGGCCTTAATCCCATTCATCTATTCTCTAAATTGTTATTACTATTGGAGAAAAAATAATACAGTCACAATAAGGTTTATAGGCAAATGAGGAATCACTAAGGATGTCTTCTATTTCTATTCCTCAACCAAAAATAATGCTTCATTGTCTTTTGCTCTTGTTATGTTTCATTCATAACAGTTGCTAAAAAACGCAAGGCATAGTCTGGGTTTTGTGTTCAAGCCATAGTTATGGTTATCAGAAACATCTCAATACTATAGGCAGTTTTGGGATAGAATTAAACAACTACATATTTGTTGTTTAAACTTAACTATAAGGCCTTGCCTTATTTGCTAAGTATCATTCATTTTTGAAAATAGAAAACTTAGAAAATAGTATATATTCAGATTTAAATGTTGTGAGAACATTTGTAGTTTATTTTTCTAGAGAGAATTCTGCTACCTACAATTTTCAAAAGCATGGTTTTGGAATGATTTTGTTCATACCTGCAATTTTTCTGGATCATTTTAGGTAATTATAAATTCTGTGATCCAACCTTTGCCTTTCTTGAAAGATGGCATATGTATTCAGGACACTGGAGCAATGTATGTAATCAATACACCAGCTGGAATCAACATTAAATGGGCTCATGTTACAGGCATTATAGACATCCAGTATGGCTTTAACTCTAATATATCTATGAAGACAGAAGGGCTTTGTGGTAAGAACATGCATAATTTCTATACTTTGTTATCCTTACTTTGATCTTTTAGATTTATAAGCCTAAATTTGCTCTCTAATGTCCTCTTATCTGAGATCTTACTGCTCTCTTCTCCCTTCCTTCCATGGCTGCCATTTATCCTATGTAAAATTATCACAGTAAATTGTTCTTATTCAGCATAAATATCCACTGCTGAAGTTAACAGAAAAGATAATGAGGAATTTGATTATGATTCTCTATACTTTTTTTCAATTTATTCCCTGTTCTATGCAAATGTTCTGAGTTTTGATTAATTGAGTCTGAAATGTGTGCTATATGGTTCAGATTTTATGTTTTCGCCCCCAAAATGTATTAGTCTAACACTGCTAGTAATAATTAGAAATTTTGAACATAGTTATGATAAATCATAATGCATGAAATGCTTAAAGAGAACTTTTATGAGAATTAAGTCTTCACTATTCAGTATGGTCTGCTACTCTTTAAACAGTAAAAGATGGACAGATGGGTGCAAAAATCATCTATGACAAAGTCAACTAAAAACAAATTAAGTGCAATGTATTTAGTTGATCTTATGGAAAGTGTATGGAGAATCTTAAGCTTCCTGAACTTAAACTTAACAATTCCTGTAATTCAGACTTTCTAGTGTTGAATGTACAAATATTTGAAAGTGCTGTATGCTGACTCAGATCATTTGTCTATCTAAGCCACTACTGCATAGTCCAGCATCTCTCAACCTGATACCATCCAAAAGTGTTGATAACGTATCCCATCATACTAACCTAGCAGAACATTTATGAAGGAACTGGAGAGCATTAAATTGAAAAATGTGGTCTATTCTAACTGGGAGTAGCCAGCAAGAGTTTTTCACATCACTTGCTTTCTGAAAATACCAGTAATAATCTGGTGTATTATACAGTCATAATATGGGCTCTCCACTAAGTGATGGTCCTTCCCCATAACTAAGTATTCATTATTATTGATATTTATTATACTTATCACCCAATAATTCAAGTTCTCTGGGCAGATAATTCAAAGTAACAAAAACAATAATAAAATAGTGCTATGAGAACAAGTGTCCTTAGAGTTATTTTGAAAAGATAGAATTGTTTTTGTAAATAAAATATTTTATTTCACATCATCCATTAGCAAAGCATCAGAGACTAGAAACTAATATTCAAGAATATGTTAATCCTTACAGAATTGCTGGAAGATTTCTTAGTTTTCATTGTGTAAGTATTTAAGAAAAAGTCTGAAAATGTATTCTTAAACTATACCTCATTTTAGTAGTTTTTCTAGTTTTTAACAAACTGATGGGAATTTTTAAATTTCTGTTTTCTTCTTTCAGAAATGTAATGCTGTTTCAATTATTTCATATATTTTAAGTATGTGTTTATTTCAAGGTGTCTGCAATGGTGATCCAGCTGATGACTTGAAAATGCAAAATAGAACAATAATCACAAACATGGAAGAAGTTGAGATTTTTATTAAAAGTTGGGAAATTGAGAAATCTTTTGATGTAACAACAAGAAGACCCATTAAAAACTGTACAGAAGATAATTGTACATATTGTATGGAACTCTTACAGAAGTGGGTTTTTGCCCCTTGTCACAAAAAAGTGAGTATGAAGCAATTATGCGTATAGAATTGGGGTGACAATCTTGTGGTGCCAAAGGACCAGACTCAACATTTGGAGGTACTATGGCGGAGTCACAACATATATGCAGATAGGGCTGGGAGGTAGAGTGTTTTTTTTAAATTGTGATGTATACCTATTTGGGGGCTTATACTACTACTTTAATCTGTTTCCCAGATAAAAGTGTCAGGAAACTAGTCTTCAATCTCCAGCAATCCCCTAATCTTTTGTAGCAGAATTTGAGGATGCAGAAGGGGTTGCAAGGAGGAGGTGGAATTAAACTTCCTTTTTCTATTAACTAAGTTCTATCTGCAAAAATGGATCATTGGGCCCTACATAAATGTGACTTTCAAAATGGGAACAAAAATGAACAAAAAAAATAATAATTTGGGGAACTGTATTTTTTAAAATATAGGAATTATATTAATATTTTAGCAACTTTTTTTAGAAAAAAGCTATGTTATGCAAATGATTGTGGGTTTAATTGCATGGCAGCTATTAAAATGAAACTAATGATTATTTTTCTCCAATTTATCTAGATTATTAATTTATCTAAATATATTTGATCTAGGTTTCACCACAAGATTTTTGTGAGAAAATGTGGGTCAACAATATCTATTTTGGGAATTATGAATGTGATGCTCTTTCTGCATATGTAGCACTATGCAACAAGCATAATATCTGCATTAAGTGGAGAACACCAGATTACTGTTGTAAGCGTGATACTCTCATTTCTGATCACTTGATTTTTACTTGGATTTTATTTTGAGTTTTTAGTTTGCTAGACTTTAGTGATACATAGAAGGCTAGATTTAGAAAGGAATGGTTCCAATTTCTTGCTTAGCACTCCATTCAATACCATTCTAGACACTATGGGTTAGTATTGATAGTTATTAGCTAGATGCTAATAAGTTATGATAAACTGTATATAATTTAATTGCTGATATTGTCTACCTACATCATCAATAGATTGTTTTTATCACTCTACTTTCCAGATTTTGTAAAATTCTTTTCACCTAGGATTACCAGATATCTGGACAGGCAAAGGAGGACATGGACAATTGGAAAGGACAAATGGGGGGAAAAGGAGGACACACTGTTTAACTTTCTTGGCATCCACAACAAAAATTACAGTTAAAAACCACAAAGCAATGAATTTAGACCTACATGTATATGACATTACTTTTTCAGCATCAGAAAGACTGGTGTTTCAGTTGCAATATTTTTCAAAAAAATATTTATTTTCAAGAACATATGCTAGCAATAATATAGAATTGACGACAATGTGCTTTTCAAATTTCACCATAGAAATGTATGACAAGTCACCAACAACTAATCTTTGTTAATGAAAAAAATGAAAAACTAATCAGATATAATCAGATCTATAACTTACTATTTCTCCCCCATCATCTGAATACATAATACTAATTGCACAAGAGAAAAAGTTAAATGATGACCACTTCGAACAAGATCAAGTAAAATAATATTCAGAGAAGGTTATTAATGGAAACAGGTCTTTATTTCTAATCATTCAAAACAGTGTCTTCTAATTTTCTAATCTATTAGTTGTATCCTTCATTTTTTATCCTTTGATAACAAGAAAGCCAATTTACAAATTGTACAAAATGAAATGTGTAGCTAAAACTGGACATTTAGATAAATTATGTTTCACAAGAAATTTTTCCTCTTAACACCTTCTTTCTCCCCTTTTCCAATGAATGTTAAGGAAATGTTAGCAATATTTATTTTCCTCAACATGTAGTGCTTGCTTGCCCTGATGGAAAGGAATATCAACCTTGTGTACAACCTTGTGCTGCCAAAACATGCCTAAATAAATGGTTTTATGAAAAATCATCATGTTCCTATTTAAGAGAAGACTGTGTTTGCAAAAAGGGGACCATTCTTCATAGAACAGACTCTGACCTTTGCATTCCAGAAGAAAAATGTGGTGAGTAAGCCTACTGATATGCTAGCATATTTTTCCTATTAGATTCAAGTATCCTTGCTGTCTGGTGGGGCAGAGGCATGATTTCTATTTTTATCTCCTCTTTATGCAAATAATATAAAATTAATAAACAGTCCAATGTACCTCCAGAGTTTATATTCCCTAAGTAGTATAGCTAGGAAGCTGATCTTCTGTAGGAATCTGTAGAAAACTACAGATTTTTACTGTAAAAGTAATCCTAACTTCATAAATCCCACTAAATTGACTGAGATGTATTCTCATTTAAGTATGGAATTACAATTTCTGACTGTTTCAGAATTTGAAAGAGCATTATGAGCATTATGAGATGCTGGTTTCCTGGTAAAAATCCTTCAGAAATATGATTTCAAAGTGATAGATTTATAATTTCTGAGGCTCAAGGTAAAAAAAAAGTAAAATAAAACAAAGGAAACCAGTGTGATTATTTTATTGTCAATAACAGTTCTTACCACCTGCAGTACTGAAGTAGGGTAGACCTGTATTTTAATGTTCTAATGACTCAAACACCATAAACAGAGTAAAGATAGATAATCATTCTGGATCTATACACCATAATTACAGTCATATGAGCCTGAGGTCTAAACTACTTATCAAGAGGCATTAATTAATGATAGTTTTGCAAAAGTAAAATTGTATGTCTTAGGTGCAATATACATCTAAATATCAAGATGCTTGTAATATTTCCTTTGTCTGCTTAGAAGTGTCAGGATATATTTTGCTCCAGCTTCTTATAAACATCTGGAGTTATTTAACTTCTAGCTTTTATGACAGATATGGTTTATATCAAAATGTAAACAGGGTTTTTTTTTTGATGTCATTAAAAAAATGTTTTCATTTTTTTATAGCCTGTACTGATAATGAAGGGCATCCCCACTCTGCTGGAGAGGTTTGGATTGGCTCCAGTAAAGGATGCTGCATGTATAAATGCTTGGAGAATGGGAGCATTATTGATACAGAGCCTGAATGTGATAAACAGCCACCTCCAATGTGTGAGCGAGAGGCTGAAGTGATTGTCAGTATAATTGAAGAACAAACTTGCTGTCCAAAAAAAGTCTGTGGTATGTGACATTTATGAAAGGCATAATATTCAGCTGGTAGGACAGAATCTGTGTGTAGTATAGAGAAAGATAAAATATTTGGCACATAGCTAGTGTATAGTGAGAAAATAATCTATCATTATAAAAGTCAACATTTAAGTTTCAAAAAAAATCTATTCACTATATTTCATTTCTATGATCTAGTATGGGCACAGACCATGAAAAATCTTCCTCTTCTGAATTATGATAAAAATATCCAGTTCATCATTTTCTGACCAAAATTAAGGAGACGAATAAGGGTTCAAACACCTTTTTGGTAATACCTTATCATGGAGAAATGGGAGATGGCATTCAGGCTTATAGACATGTCAAATTATGGACAATAAGAAGGTCAATTAAGACAAGTGCATTCCAAAAACACTTTGGATGTTGAAAAATGGCATTTGCAAATATTTCCAATTTCTTTCTTGGGGGTAAAAAAAAACAACACTAGGTAGGATACCAGAGATACCCAAATGGCGATCCAGTTGTGTGCTAAGCTGATCCCAGCAAAATATACGATTCTCCATGTAACTTCAAGCTGCTCTGCCTTTATTTTAATGCATACATTAAGATAATGTTACATTAATGTAAGAAGCCAAACAAATTTGGACACTAATTTTTATGTTAGTACAACTTCTTGTTCTTCACTTTCAATATATTCTATACGATCAATGTAACATCAAGTATCAGTAATCTTAAAATGCTTTATTTGAAAAAAGAACAGCTCGTCCACATTCACATCATCTTGCTTATTAACCAGAACTGCTTGACGGGTCAATAAATGTTTTCCCTATCATCTTTCCATGAAAAAAGTTAAGTAGAGATATATTGATTTGATTTGATTCAGGATTCTGCTTTTTTTAGAATGCAACATGACTCTGTGTAACCCTATTATCCCAGTATGCCGAAGTACTGAGGAGCTGACAGTTAAATACACTCCTTTCTCCTGCTGTCCTCAATACCAGTGTGGTAAGTGATACAGTGAATAATGCAACTGAGAAAAGATTTTTCATTTAGAAGTGTATAACTTCTAAATTCTTAAAACAGTAAATCATTGGTTGCATTTTACTAGATAGCCTGTTTTGGTTTGCTTTGTTTTTTAATTCAGAATGTGATGTATCTGCATGTCCCAAAGTTACCCGTCCAGAATGCCGAGAAGATCAGTTTATTGTGGAAGCCAAATTGGAGGATATCTGCTGTTTATCCTATTTGTGTGGTAAGGAACATTTCTCATGTTAAAAATCTTGGGTAAATTAAGTATTGCAAATATCTAAGATAAGTACAAATTTAGAGGTTACTTTTTAAATTTAGTTACAAAACCACCCAATTTTTAATGGGAGAATTCAGGTGCTGAGAACTTTTCTTATTATATAGTAGCTATGTGACCATTGTTTTTGATTAACTGTAGCAAGGAAGGAAATGGGAGTTAACTGTTAACACTATGGTCCCAATGTGTACTCTTCTCTCTCTTTCACAATGCCATTGAATAACGAAAAGGGGAACAAAAATTACAAGGACTCATTATATGCTTAATGTCATACTTACAATAAAAGCTCGATCCAGTCCTTGTAATATTATTATTAATTTAATTTTGAATTACTTACATTTGATTAAATTGTTGATATTATGTTATTTGCTTTTGATATGTTTTATTTTTCATTATCACTATTATCATTTTTCCTTGTATTGTTGTAACCTTTGCTAGTATTGGTTGCTATAATATAATTTAACTGCTATGAATATTCTTGTTGATTGTTCTGTACACTCTCTCTCTCTCTCTTTCTTTCTTTCTTTTCTTTCTTTTTTCCCCCCATCAAGCAGTAACTGGGCCCAATCTACTTGGCTTTCAAGCCTAGACAAGATCATGTGTATCAGTAAACCACCAGTAGAAATATACATAGAAGCCCTGGTGACGCCAAGCTGTATATATCATGTGTTCTCTGACCTGTGCCTCCTATTCACATATTATGATGCTATTGTATTTGCAATACAAAATAGGGCATGACTTTCCTAGGAGCCATGTGAAGTTTTCACATGTTTTCCCAGTTCAGTGAGTTGAATAAATGCATCTCATTTAATTTAATACCTAGTACATCTGTAGAGTGTTAAAACCTGTTGCAATTCAGTGTTGGAGGCTGCTTGCTTGAGCTTTAAAAAATCACGGCACAGTTTGGCATACATAGCTATGCATTTTATTTATTTATTTTTGCATTTTTGCAAACTGTTAAATATTCAGTTATTCAAACATGGTTAACAATTTCTATTGATTAGGACAGTGTCAGCATATAAATATAAATATAAAACGGGCTCAGAACTAATGTCGTATGTATATGAGTGTACGTTGGTGGATATATATATATACATACGTATGTATATATGTATGTATGTATGTATGCATTACATGGTGTTTATGTTTCTCTTGAAGTTTGTGAATCTTGCATTGAACCTATTCCAGTATGCAATGAAGAAGAACTTCTTACAGTAGATCTTAGTACTGCACATTACTGTTGTCCTCATTATCACTGTGGTAAGTTTTGCTTGGATTAAATATCTCGGAGTGATTGTTACTTGTTTTATTGGGATTTTTCTTTGTATTAAGTCATAAAATAGTATTCATTGCTGGTATTAAATACAGTATTATTACACTGCAGCTGCCATAGAGGTAGAGTCAATTACTATCTTATTTCTATTCTAAAAATTCAGGTAAATAATCAGGCAAAAATATATTTAGCCATGTACAGCTGTTGAAAAGTCTAGGCATGCATAAGCATGTATAATCTAAGGAAAGATTACCACTGAGTTGTTCCGTATCTCAAGGATTGCCGATGGCAGAAAGAACAAAAACAACATTCAGCTGTACATAGTTGTAGTCTCACTTTAGATTTTCAATTTAATGCTAATATCTAAACATCTAGACTGTACCTAGTGCCTACCTTGTCCATTCAATAAGCATATCTGATACCACAAAACGTGATGAAGACTTATGTAACTATTCATATGGAGTGATACTTTGGGGTTTTGTTGTTCAAGCAACAGTTTCCCATGCTTTATAGCAAACTGATTTTGGAACACTATCATATTATGAGGAAGGTTGTCTCCTCTATCTAAAGTAGTTTGTGATACAAAACATGTGCTCTACTATTGAAACTTCAAATTATTATTGATTACTGGAGCCTAAAATAACTCATTCACTCCTAACCATTCATTTAAGGTGGCAGGTAGAAATAATAATATAATAGAGAAAAGTTTTATATGTTTAGTTATTTTTTTTTCCCAGTGATATTGTGGCAATAATCTTTTAAAGACACAATTTCTCTTTCTCTAGTATGTGAAGAGAATCTCTGTCCTTCACCTCTTCTGAATTGCTCTGCTGATATGAAACTGATTAGAAAAAGAGTACCTGGACAGTGTTGCCCAGATTGGATTTGTGGTATCTATAATCTGCTTTTTTTCTAATTATGTAAATTAATGAGGTATATCATCTATTCCCATTGATGTAGTCATACTGAACTTTTCTCTCTTGTTTTCTCCAGAATGTGATTGTGATACTGTACCAAGCTGTAAATTGGTAAGAAATATTTACTTTCATAATAGTTTTGGAATTCTTATTCCTCTCCTTTCATTTTAAATTTTTCTATGCTACCCTGTATTACGATGACAGTAGTCATAAGTTTGTAAGACATGTAAAATGAATAAAATTGTGTCGGTGTATGAAAGTGAAAGATCTTGACAGAACTGAGATATAGTGTGCAGTGAATTCTGATAGAATCAGAACCAGTGATAGCTATTATAAAATCTGTTGGTAGCAGAATTTTGTAAAACATTGACACTTGTAAAATAAGCTTTCAGTAACCTAAAGTCACACTGTAAGCAACCCATCTCAAAGCAATATTAAAATGAAAATCTTGGCAAAGAAATCTGAGACTGAGTGTAGGAAGTAAGTGGACAGAAGTAGGTGACAAATATGGATTATGACAGATAGATAGATGGCCAGACAGAGTTAAGTGTGGTATATTGTTATATAGAATATTGGTACTAATTCATTTATAGTAATAACTCAATGTTTATTTGTCTGTTACATTCTACTTTTATATCAGGAGCATAGCAAATTATGATAGAAACTTTATTGTACATGTGATATTCAAGTTACGTTTCCCTTTTTGTTTTTTGAGGCCTTCAAGTCCTTCTTGACTTTTGGCAACTACCTAAATAAGTTCATGCAGTTTTCTTGGCAACAATTTCAGAAATGGCTTGCCCCTGCCTCCTTCTTCCCAGGGCTGAGAGAGAATGACTTGCCCAAAGTTACCCAGTTGGCTTTGTGCCTAAGGCAGGACTAGAGCTAGCTTTCTCCATCTAATCCAGCACCTTAACCATTACACCAAACTGGCTCTTATTCACGTTAATACCAATATGAAAAACGGTTCTGTTTCAAGGTAGCAGACACAGTTGCCAAGGAGAAGCAGAGCAGACAAGTTGCAAAACAAAGACTTATCAAAGTAAAGTACCGTTTGTAGTCCAAGACGCAAAAGAGTAGGCTAATTACAATGCCAAAAGTCATGAAGCCAAATCAGGTAATCAGCCAGTCCAGAAGTCGGGAATTCAGGATACACACAAGACACAAGCTAGGTATTCAAAGGGTTGTTTTCCAACAGAGAATTAAGGCAAAGCAAGCTACATAAATCTCTCTGATGGCAGCTGGCTGCAATTATTCAGGCCTCACCCTTTGCCTTGCGAGGAGTCTCCTTGATCAATGCTGCTCTGCTCACCTCTGCATGCGTCTGAATCTGGGCTTGGGAGTCATGCCTCGTCATCTGACTGCTCCAGCTGATCAGAAGATGTCTGTGGCTGGTCAGTCTCAGATGCATCATGGTTTAATGATTCCTGAGGCTGACATTCCACAGGCTCAGCTGGAACAACATTGTCAGAATCAGATTCAGATTCATGTCGTGGCTCATGACAAACCCAATGAAGAGATGACTTGATAAATACTTGCTGTGGCTTTACAAGTTGTAATTATGTTATTGGCTATTGTGCTTGTGGGGAAAATATAAACCTACCATTAGACAATAAATATTGGCACTGTCCTAAAGAGGCAACAACATTATTTGTTCTGTTAATAGAGAATCATTGTACTAAATCATTGTGCTACCCATATTGTACAATGTTTGGTATGTGGACACCGTTCGCTTTTCTGCCTCATATAACAGAATGTCTTGGGCCTACCTAACACCTACCAAAGTACATTCCACAGCATTGATCCCTCTGCCGATCCCTGGAAACCTATCTGTACTGTTAGCCTTCTAAACAGTTACACAGTTGCAACACACATAAAAAACAGGCAGAGCTTCAAACACGCTATCATGGCTGCCATCTTGATTTTCTTGACCACACTTAGTGGACATCCCTGCAGTTACACACATTCAGCTACCTCCTCTGAATTTGAAGCTGTGACAAGACTGAGAAGCAACGGCAGCTCCCACTTGGCTTGCTCATCTCCGGTGAACATCAGTGTAGTTTGGGTTCTGTAGAAGGAACTGTAACAATTCTAACAGTGGCAAGGAAGAGCTGGACCAAGTGCTTTGGCTGTAAGCATGTGGCCTAATGGTTTCCGCAAACCTGCATTCAAATGTGCAACAACTTTAGCTGCTAAAATGCATTTGATAGTTTTGACAGTTGTTATGTAAAGATATTCACTTCGTTGCAAATGAAAGTACATGTCTATGTGCAGTTGAACAAATGTATCATTGAAATTTTTTTTTTTAATTCCATAGGGTGAAGTTCGGAAAATAACTGCTAATACTTCTAGTACATGTGGATGCCCACAATATATTTGTGGTATGTACATGTGTGTGTGTGTGCGCATCCGTATGGGTGTTCTTTTCAATATCCTTTTTTTTTAATATTTAATTTTCAGTAGCATAGTTGTTAAGACAAGCCCTATATACTTTATGTGCTTACAATTTTCAATGAATTTTTAGTTTAAAATAAAAAAGGGACACATTCTGTTAGAACAGAAATATTCACATGAACAAACTTTATGCTTCATGTTCTTTAGTAGTGTTAAATTTATCAAGGGAATTATAGCACATAGAGTGATAAATAAATTATTTATATTCCATTAGGACTTAGAGAGAAAACTAAACAAAACAGTTTAATATGGCATGGCAAGTAAGTTTTAATTGGGTACTGAAGGGCTTGGACTGTTGGCATTTGTCCGACTTCAGTGAGTAAGGAGCTGCTAATAAAGTGTGTGTGTGCGTATGTATATGTATGTATATATATTATATAATGAATTTCTGCAATAAGGTGCTCTTTTGTGTATTTGCCATGGAAATTTGTCATTTTAGGTCCCAATTAGTGATATTTATTGATATATCAATCAACCATTGTAGTTTGCAAATAAACCACAGCTTATCACTAAACCTTTTTTATTGTATGTGAAAAAATAGAATTGATATTTAAAAGTCTCTCTTTTTTTGCGTATTTTCCTAGTATTAGTAAAATTTGGCTTATATGTGAGTAAGAAACACATATAAGAATCAGTGTAATGTACTTTCATTGCACTGCAATGGCAACCACATTCTGCATGTTTGAAAAAATAGGTTGCCTTTTGTATGTGTGTGTGTATGTATGCGCGCACACACACATACACATACAGAAATCAAGTTACCTTTATATTGAATTCCTTCTTTGGTAATACTAAGAAGCAGAATAACAGCTTTAAAAGGAAAATTGCAAACTGCATGTAGCCAAGGTCATACTAATGCTAAACTGTAAGTATGATATATCAATCAACCATTGTAGTTTGCAAATAAACCACAGCTTATCACTAAACCTTTCTTATTGTATGTGAAAAAATAGAATTGATATTTAAAAGTCTCTCTTTTTTTGTGTATTTTCCTTCCTTCCTTCCTTCCTTCCTTCCTTCCTTCCTTCCTTCCTTCCTTCCTTCCTTCCTTCCTTCCTTCCTTCCTTCCTTCCTTCCTTCCTTCCTTCCTTCCTTCCTTCCTTCCTTCCTTCCTTCCTTCCTTCCTTCCTTCCTTCCTTCCTTCCTTCCTTCCTTCCTTCCTTCCTTCCTTCCTTCCTTCCTTCCTTCCTTCCTTCCTTCCTTCCTTCCTTCCTTCCTTCCTTCCTTCCTTCCTTCCTTCCTTCCTTCCTTCCTTCCTAGAAAAAGAAAGTGTCTGTGTCTTCCAAGAAGTCACTGTACTGAACCCAGGTCAGACAGTGATTCAATATTTGGATGAAGAACTTTGTTATACGGCAAAGTGTTCACAAGAAACAGACCCCAACACAGGATTTCACATTATGAATCTGGCAGTAATTAACTGTTCCCAAAAATGTGAAGCAGTAAGTAAAAATATATAGACAAAGTTATTCCTGAAACAACACAATTAATATAACATTGGCTTTAAAATCTGTTTAAAATGATAAGCAATATCTTAAACTGTGTTCAGTGTCAATATATTTATTATTTAGGGAAATTTGAAATAAAGGATTGGATTCAAAGGTTCCCTTTCTCTGGTAGAATCCTTCTACATCAAAACCAGTTTTGCACCCAAAGTCAGTGACTAAAGTAATCTATTTCCCAAGAATGAAGATGTTTGTATTAAATTTTTAACCAATAAATATTTTGAAACATATGCTGATGAAATATGTGAATTACGTGCTATGCAGTGATCCTGTCATTTTTCCAGAAAAGAAACATGCAATTTATTTCTTTTATATTATAGTCACAGGGCTTCTCAACCCAAGATCCCTCTATATGTCACATCTTCCTGGTCCTCTTTTATGATTATGGTTTATGTGTGGTGTTCAAGACTGCACAAAGCCCTCCTCTAGACCGACTGGCTGAAGTCTCAAAGCAGCCCCATATCTCTTTTTGTGGTCTTCTGGGAATGTGCATACATATTAAAAAATTATTCTACTTTGTCACTGAAGAACTGAACTAAAGTAGCTTCCGTGAGACTCAGCTAACACTATTCTTCAAGAAGCTGGTCTGCATAAGCACTTTACAAAGCATAGCCCTAGTGCGAATACATTATATGTCATCTAGTCTAGAGAATGTCTATACTAGATGACATTCTAGCTGTCAGGCTGATTTCATAATATTCTTATCTTCATCTTTGCCCTGGGACAGGGAAAAGAATTTGCAGACAGAAATTGAGAGTTGACTTCCATTTTCTCTCTGATAACAATAAGGTTAATTGATCAGCCAATGTTTAATTCCACATACATTTATACAGCTTTATAGTACAGCCTTTTTATTTTTAAAACAACACTCTTTCACATCATACATCACTTAAAAAAAAACACTCAAAATTACCTGAGTAACCTTCTTTATGCTATGATCTATTCATTAATAATTGGATCCAAAACTGCATATTATAGTGGGCAGCAATTTTTCATGTTTAACATGACAGAAAGGGAATCTTATTAAATACATAGCAAATAATAATGTTAAATGTATTTAATTGTAATTTTATTTAAATGTAACAGCAATTGCATGTAGTTTCTATCCTTGTTCTGCTGTTTCCACTTTTAAGAATAACATTCCCAGCATACCATTCAAGCTCTGAGAACAAAATAGGTTGTGTACACCTGCTATGTACAATACTGAGCAAGATAGACTAATAATGTTTGTTTGGTATAAGACTGTTACCTATATTGCTTTGAAGGAAAAATGCTACTAAAACTAACTCTTGTTGATTTGCCTTGCCAGTTTAATTGGTGCAAGGATTTTAAAAGTAAGCTTATATCTCATCAACAACAAAGATATGGGTACAGTTGTCAAAGGAAATCATATTGTTAACTGATGCATACATCATATAGCAGTTAAATACAGTTTTAGCACTTGATTATAATTAGCTTATATGTATTTAATACAACTGATATGGATATTCTCTCTTTTTAACAGCATCAAGTACACAGCCCATCTGATGGTCAACATTCTTGTTGTGGTTCCTGCATAAATGTCTCATGTCCTTTTTATACTGACAACGGAACTCTTGTGATTTATGAAGTAAGTGGGTTTAAAAATGGTTCAGAGAACAACAAGGAATTAGAATTCTAATTAAGTGAAGATCTAAATTCTACAAGTTTCTCATATGATTACTCCAGATTCAAACTTTTCTTGATTGAAGATCATATTAGACATTCAACATGATTAGATATCCAAATGAGCTAAATGTATAATGAGACACCAGGAATACTGGTGTTAGCTTGGTATTAGTCAAGGAATTCAGTTTAAGCTTGATTTACATATGAGCAGACATTTAATCAAAGTTACCTGGACTTGTGCGAACACCATACATTTCACCATACCACAAACAAAATTACACATTGACTCTATGTCTGGTGTTAAGCAACAAACAACAGTTATTGTCTGCTGAAGTTGCTCTTCTTGTAAATGCTTCGTATGAGAAATAGATTACCATATTACTATATTAGGCCATTGTTATGATGCTCTCAGAAAACACTGACAGTGTTCAACAGAATTTAATAGTCATTAAACTAAAATACAGTATTTACCAGCCTAGTATTCTTCAACTGTGGTTGACTGCAACATACCTGAAGCCATTAAGGTTGGTAAGGTTATCTTAATGCATGGCTCAATCATTATTTCTGCCACATTTTAGCCAGTCTTTCCTTTCTTTCCTTTGCCCTACTCTCCTTCTCTCTTTTTATAGGAAGGAAGCACATGGGACTCAAACTGCACTAAATATGAATGTGCAAAGATTGGTGTGGGAACAGTGGTACTTGGCTCCAGTGTATTTTGCCCACCCTTTAATGAGACTGAATGTGTGAAGGTTTGTACTTTATATATAAAAATATTCTTCATTCATGTATGTTTCATTTATTTGGGAATTTGGTATCCAGGTGTAAGTGTTTAATATAAAACTATCTACAACTGCATTTATTGCCTTAATTTTTTTCCTCTGAATTATCCCTGCACACACATAATACTTAGAATTAATTAAACCCACTTAGCTTGAAATCTAGTATTATCTTCTCTCCCCCTAGCTTCTTACATCCAAGGGGAAATATAGGGCAGCTTCAGGAGCTCTGCTTGATTCTACGTTCCCTTATTCATAGTAATTTTAGCAGCATAAACTGTCCATTGAGTGTCATCTTTGGTTCTGACATGTATTTCCCCAAATCCCCACATACTGTCTGAAGTTGCTTTATTGATCTTAACAGAAAGATGGATCAGTTTGTGGACCTGCTGCTTCCATTGAAATGAATAGGTTTAGGAATGTGCTATTGGCTCAAATGAAATGTTAATACTGAGTAAAAATTATGAAGTTCTCTCAAGTCTTCAGAATGTGTGTCTCACAATGTTATGCTATTAACATGTAAAGATATAGATCTTCTTTACTCTGAATTGAGTATAGGACTGCAGTCTCCATCCTTAGAATGAATGCAAATGATTGAATTCAAATGATATATATGAATGCAACATTAGATATGCTAGTTAAGCAGTACTCCTGAATGCAGATGAGAGAAAACTAGGTTTGCCCATAAAATTGTTATTTAGAAGTTTGCACCTATTTAAGCTACCAACTCTGTAAACCTGTACACTCTCATCCAACAAATTTACATATCTTACAATTAATCAGAATATTATATATTTATGTCTTAATTCAATCTTGCATTAGCTGAGTTGCTTTCAGATTATGCTAGGTTATTCATTTGTATAGTGGAAACAATACTGTTGCAGGTATTTGCAGTATGAACTGGAGCCACTGCATGAAAATTTAATTAGAAAATTACAAGAAAATCTAATCCACCAAATCAAAAACAATTAAAAACTGAATACAAAAACTGATCCAAGATTATCTTATAGTCAGTTGATTCAGTTTTTGTATTCAGTTTTTGTATTCACTTTTGTATTCATTTTGATTTAATGAAACAATGCTGCCAATGCTTGAAAAGTAAACGTGTGGTGGAGAAGAGTCACCTCAATCCTACATTACACAGTTATAGTGACAGGTTTAGTAAATGTATGGAGATAATATATGAGAGACTTCAAAGTAGTTTGTTATATATGGTTGCAACCACTACTTTTTACTTTTTCTCCAGAACTTCCGATTCTATAACCAATTTTCAGTATATCAGCATTCAATGACATTCTGAGGAAATAAAGTTTTCCTACAGCTCTCTTGTTCTGCTTTTTTTCTTCTGAGCACCAGCTGGAAAAAGTATCAAACAGTTAGATATACACAGCAATTCCTGTGGATGTCTCCCATTCCTGAATTATACCTTAAAATAGCTGAAGATTCATAGAGGATTGTCCCTTCATGTAAAATGTCCCCTTAATTAAAATATTTGTAGATTGGATTGGGCATCTGGGTCTTTCTTTTTGTTTATATGTATTGCCCAGGTACCTCAAAATGTTTCTTTGAGCACAGTCTTTTTTGAAATATTCCTTTTTAATTTTCCTAGAATGGAGGCTCTGTACAGACCTATCACAATGGCTGCTGCAAGACCTGTAAGTGAAGACAGCTGTATTATGTGGTAGTTCTCTGTTGGTATGGCTTTGGGTTTGGACAGCTGTGTGCATTCTTAACCTCTTTAAGGAGACATATGAAAAGAAAATAGCATGCTGTCTCTGAATCATGTCATATGTGTCCAGTCATTAACAAAAGTAATTGACGAGCCTGGCTTTCTATGGCTGCTAACACTGTGATTTTAAATCTTACATTTGTTTTTTAACCTTTCCTTTCTGATATATAACCAGTTCCCCCAAAATAATATAGATATGACTAAAAGCTGCTTTGGATGTCTTTAGAAAACCATGGTTATACATTTTATTAATAGGATTTTTCTCTAGATTAATACATCTACATGATTATAAGAAAATCTCAAAATGTGAATATTTTGTTTAGGTCATTCATTGAAAAAAATGAAGCGATAATGGGTTGCTGACCTATGTTCTATCGAAATATGCTTTTTCCTTCCCCCCTTCTTTTAAATACAACCATAAGAAGATATTTAATTGAGAAAGTTATATAATATGCTTATATAAAAAGGGATAATTACACTTGTAAGACTCTATGTAAAAACATTAAATGTGAAAATGTATTAATTATTGTTTTAGAATACTGTAATTTCAGTAACTGTATTGTAAAACTTATTGGCCAGCTCCAAAAGGTCATGAATTTGCTCATTCAGGATAATGACAAATATTCCACTTTAAAAAAAAATGCATCAAGGATTATTTTATAATAATATTAGTTCTCAAAGCCTTGTTAAACTAACAGAACTTAAATCTAGGGATGATTACTTTTCACAATGGGGGAATTTGGGTATTTTATCTGAGACAGTTAAAATCAGTCCAATATAAGAGAACTCATTGAATGGTTCTTTGGATTCCATCCAACCCTGGAATTTTCTTCCTGAGCTGGAATGATAATCTTCTGTACTGAGTTTCCTTTATCCATAATACAAAATACTGCCAGCAAAAGAGTGTCCTTCTCTTAGCCTCATTTGAGAATCCAACACAGAAACTCATATCAAATAGAGTTGGATAAGAAGCACCAAAGAAAGAAAGAAAGAAAAAGACAGCTACACTTTTTGATAGTTGCCATGCTTTTTAAAACATTTTTTGTGAAGTGAACCTCCTTTATACTTTTTGTTTTTATTCTTTTGGAAATCCTTCATGTTGTAGCTCAAGAAATCAGGGTGAGATCTTGTCAATTAATGGTGTATACATCTGGGTAACTCCCAGAACATCTGCCTATAGCACTTTTCAAAACATGCTAAGTCTCAGTCTGTGCAGCTGGGATTCAAAAAGGCTGTACAGAAAGTCTCTGATTTCTGTAGATTCCCATCCACATACTGCAGACCTTATTCAAAATCTAATGCCAAGATCAGGAGTAGTTCTGAGGGACTGCAGTGAGGAAAAGAATAAAAGAAGCTCTTGCTGGAAAACCAGAGCTCTTATTTTTGGATCTTTCCCCTAATCGTATCTGAACAAGAATATGTATACATCTGTTTCGGCAAACACTTTCAATTCTAGTGTCAAAAGGGGCCATTTAAGTCATTGTATCCAACCCCATGCTCAATGCAGGATTCCAAATTAAACCATCCCTGACAGAGGGCAAGCCTAGCTTTTACTTGACAGATTCAGTAAGAAGAACCTCACTGCTACTGTAGTACCGCTCTTACAGTTAGTAAGCTTTTCCCTTAATATTTACTTACAATATATGCCTATGTTTCTATAGTTATTTCTTATATCTCCTGCCTTCCATTCAGAAGCTGATGGCAGTGTATATAACACTTCCTCTCCCCATTTTCCTACAAGAACCCTGTGACTTAGGTTGGCCAGAAATTTACCCAGTGGCTGAGGATGGTTAGGAACCTGGTCTCCCTGGTGCCAGTCTAACAGTTTAACAACTATACCACACTGGCTCTGAAGATACACTTGTAGAAAAAGATAGATTGCCAAGGAAACACCACAGAAACTCCTTTATCATCTTTCATATTTTGCTAGAAGTTCTCTTGCACTCTACATTGCCTTTAGATGGGAATGCCCAGTGGCACAGTGGCAGGGACAAGAAGAAATCAGCAAACACTCTGTCCCTCTTCAGTTCTCCAAAAGAATGCTTCTTGATCAGATTTCTACTCACAATATTCTGGATCCTGCTATACACATACATACATTTTCTCACACAACTTGAAGGTGTCTTTTTCCACATCATGACTGAAATCTAGAAATTCCTTTACCTAAAAAAGTTACTATTTTGAGCGGTAAAATGACAAGGTAAATAATGACAATTATGTCATGAAATAGATATTTAAAGCTTAATAACTTCTCATGAAGACCATAATTTTATCTCTCCCCATAAATATTTTATTTAGATGAAGTAAACAATGTAAAAACCAGTCTTTGGCATTGACCGATAGAATTTTTCTTTACTGTTCTCTAAAACAATTTTTACCTTAACCAATAATATAGGCTTAGAAATGTAACTGTCATACTTCAGAACTGTTTGCTGAACTAGCTTTTAAAAAACATAATTAAATGCTGTTTTACATACTAATAGAGAAATTTTTTTAGAACAAACTAAAAGCATGTGCTTTTAACGGCTAAGCAGTAAAAGTGAGCTACAAGTAAAGCTTGAAATTCCTTGGGTTTTAATGGTAACCGATAATCTTTATTTTAAAAGGAGAATGATTATATGCATGCTGAGTGAGTCCATATATTTAATTCTTACCTTGCCAAATTATATTCCAGGTTTCTTTTTCATATGTAAATGTAATGGCCTTATTATCCACATGAGTATTAAAACATAGGGATATAATTAAATTAGAAAAATAGGAATACTTGTTTCTTTTTGTAAAAAGAACAGCTTCTATAAAAATTATTATCAGTTGGCAGTGTAAGAATTAATGCAATGCTATTTATGTAAAAATGTTTTTGCATATTACAAGAAACTTATGTTCCCAATAATTCTGCCAGGTTCTGGACGGGGTGTATTACCCTTTGCCATTAGGCCTGTAGTCTCTACTGATAGTATTAATTGTGAACCAGGTATTACTATTTTTAATAAATGTATTTTATTTTCTTTATTTTTAAAAAACATATGTTAATATTTTTTATAAAAACCTCCATTTGCAACTGTAACAATATATATTACATTAGACTGTGATCAAGAAAAATGTTGATTGACTCCATAATTATCACAGATTCTTCTGTATTATTCCACTATAGGTGCTTTTCATAGATCTGATTTATAAACATTTCTGCAGATATAATTTTTGAAATACAAGCATTGAACACAGCCAGAGAAGCAGCAGAAATATATTTCTACTAGGATTTATAAAATCAAGGATGTGTACAACACCCATTTTGTGCCTTTTATTGGGATTTCTAATTTCTGCTGTTGTTTTTTCTCTATTGATTGAATTGCTCTCCAATGTTCAAAGTAGCTTACAATCAATTCATAAAACAATACAACATTTAAAAACAAATCTTAACCAATACTGATAGAATACATACATTACAATACATCAGGGAAATCTATCAAAAGTGAACAGCAACATGAATCACTAAAAAATAGCAGCACAGTCTAAAAGCTGTATCAAAGAAGCCAACTAACCTCTCTAGAAATGGAGCTCGACAATCAGAATGCCTTTCTTAATTCTCTACAGTATGACAGGGTCATTAAAAAAAAAAGAACCCTGAGTGATAAATTATAACTATAAAGAAGACTAATAATTATACATATAATAATACTACAACTGAATTCAGAAGAAATAGGAAACTAGGGAGTCAGTTTGAATGCTGGTGTTATGTTGTCTGTGCAATGAAACTAGAAAGCAGTCTGCCTTTGTATGTTGTACTTGCTATAGTTCCTGAATGCAGTGTAATTCAGACTGCATGGTCCCCTGTGGCTAAGACTTTCTGTCCATTCTAAAATTCTAAAATTAATTCTAAAATTAAATGGCAGTCCTGGCTATGCCATTACCTGATTCTATCTAAGAGCAGTTCTTTGGGTGGCCATATGTGCTGTGCCACACAAGAGGGTTGCACCTTTATTGAGCTCCTCCTGGAAATCCTCCAATCAGTTCAGAGACCTGATGGAAAACTCTACATTTGCTGCCCATTGTATGCACAAGGGTTAGGGATAACTGGGATAGTGATAGAACTGCCTATACTAAGCAGTTCATACTCTAACTTTTATATACATTTTGACAGGTCTGTAATCTCCTTAACATCTATTGAACACATGCTTGTTCATCTTATTTTAAATCCAATTGCTGTATAGCCTTCATGTGTAGGTTCTCTGTTGGGAAGGGAATAGGGAAAAAAAAACTTGAAATATAAATTAATGTGCATAAACATCTATGAGATATTCTTCTATTACAAACAAAATAAAACCCTACAGGTGGATTATGGGAGGAGGATTAGACACCTTGGTGCATATTCAAATGATGCCACACACCTAAAGAGCTCTGTAACTAAAGATCTAGTAGAAATGTCTTGATTGTCTTCATACCTTATGTTTTATCAGGTAAAAGAGATGAAAGGATTTGCCAGAAAATAATGGTCAGAACTACTGTAAGAAAACATGACTGCGTAAGCCAAAGTCCTGTAAGTAGAAGTGCCTAATTTGGGGAGATTTAATAGACAGGGTGTGCCTTAAAGCATATCAGCTACTAAAACATGCTTTTAATTAGTGTGGTAAATATACACGCAGGTCCTATTACTTTTCTGACATCTGGAAAACCTCTCTCCCTTGTAATATCCTCCTACTCATAAAAAGAATTTATAATTTAATTGCTTTTACCCTAACATTATTTAAATGCTGACTTTTTCAGTTCAGAGACATCTGAAACCAGATGACTAGTGCAGAATAAAATTGCCTATGCCAATTGGGTAATGACCAGCATTTTAATTTGGACCCCAAAACCTACTGGTAACCCAAGCAATGACTTCAAGATTGGGGTTAATCAACATTCACAGGGCTTGTCCTGCCAATAATCTAGCTGTTGCATTTGCACCAGCTGCAATTTCTAAGTCATCTCCAAAGGCAGACCTATGTAGTGTGTGTCACAGTAGTCCAGCCTATTGGGGATCAGGGCATGAGCTGCCATCACTGCGGCATTCTGGCCCAGGTATGGTTGTATGTGGCACTCCATCTGTGATTGGGCAAAGGTCTCCTGGCTGTAGCTTTCATCTGCTATTGAAGCAAGGGTTGAGAATACAGGAAAACCCATAAGTCATAAAGCCGTTCTTTCAGGGGAATGTGATCCCATCCAGAGTAATGACATGGGGCTGATGTTATTGGATTGTCTTCTTTGAAAGATCCAATCTGAGCTTATTTTGTCCCGTCCACAAGTCAAGTTCATGATATTCAGAGAATCTCTTGGGTGGTGATGCAGAAACTGGGTGTCATCAACATGTTATCAACATCACACCCAGATCAGTGGGTTATGTCTCCTGTAGCTTTAATCTAAATGTTACATTAAGGGGAGAGGTCTGGGCCCTGGAGGAGTCTGCCTAAGGATCCCATGGGCTCAAACACTTCTGCCCCAAGAACCATAGACTGGAACCACCTACTCAAGTAGGAGCATAATCACCATTAAATAGTATCCTCCCCATTTCTAATCCTTGTGGATAGCCCTGAATGGTGCCATGGTTGATGGACTGAATGCCACCAAGAGGGGAACATTTTTCCATCTAGAGGCATATGCATGTGTGCCAGAATAAGTACAGTATGTGTGTGGGCATATTTCCCCATCTAGTATGTTCATGAGTATTTGTTTGTAGGAATACTAAGCTTGCTATCTTGAACTGGGGATGTCCTGCTGTTTATTGAAATACAGTAATCTTCCTTCCTCCACTTCCATGGATGTATTTAAGCAGCACTCCAGTCTGTATATTAAAGTAATATTTGCATTAGACAACCTTATATATCACAAAATAGTGCACGGTTATCCATATTTTCAGAATTAGATGGCAAAGCTATCATAAAAAGGTAACTGGAGGAGGAAGGAAGCTGGTTGATCCTGAACAGACCATTGGGCCCATTGCAGGAGACCTGAACACACTGGAGATTCAGCATGATGACGGATTTCCAAACTTATTTTTAATACATGTGATGACTGATGCTTTCAATAAATTTAAATGATAAGATTTGAAATCATGAATGACATCCTTCCCCTTCCTGTCCCTAACAGATAAATGTGGCTTCTTGTGATGGAAAATGCCCCTCGGCTACAATTTTTAATGTCAACATAGATAGCCATTTAAGGTTCTGCAAATGCTGCCGTGAAAATGGAGTTCAGAATCGAACAGTGCCACTTTACTGCTCGGGAAATGACACTGAAATTCTGTATACCATCCAGGAACCCATGGACTGTTTATGCCAGTGGAATTAAGAATTTTGTGATTACATGCAAACCAAGATTATGTTTTTCTTATGTTCAGGTTTAACATATAAATAATTTCTCATTTTTAATATGCATATGTAAAAAGGGAGCATATTCATTTTAACATATATGGAACACTTAATTTACTTTAGAGCAATGTACTTCTATGAAGTATTCTATGTAATTAACCAACGTTAACTACATAACGTACTTGTTCTGGAGTTATATCAAAACATTGCAGTTTATTAGCACCTCCATTGGCATCACTCTTTCTTGCTTAACAGTAATCTTAGCCCACATTGTAATATTTGTAACATTTTATTTGTATTTTAGAATCTGTAACATGCTAGTATTTCTTATTTTTCTGGTTCTAACCTTCTTTTCAGCACACGTTTTATTACTATGACTGCACGTAGTAATTTCTTATAAACCATTTTTGACATTATTTTATATTTACAAGAACTTATGTAAAAGTAAATGATAGTTTGCATATTTGGATTAAAATATAATCCAAAACACTATATGTATTCCTAAAGAGGAAAATGCATATTTACTTTGGGCAAATGGAGAGGCCATTTTTATTATTTAAATTTCCAGATATTGAATATATTTGTTAAATATTGTTATGCATACAGTATATGCAATTGTTCTTCAATAAACACAGTAATATAATGCACACCCTACACAAATGTAGATGCTGATTGTATATACTATTCAGCATCAATATCAGAAATAATAATAGAAATTATTTCATTATCATTACAAGCATTAATGATAGAAAAAGCTGAGGGCTTTAGAGTCATAAAGAATCTATGTGAGGAGCTGTGATTTGATATGGGACATGATATATAAGAGGACTTTGTAAGTTTCCATATGAAATGTTAGCATAGTCATATGAAAAGGTTGCATTTTTTTTAGAAAGTGCATGTTGAGGTAGGAGGCTAATTATGACAGACTAATGTGTGCTTTGTACAACCATTCATGGTATTTCCAATATATCATGGGATAGCAATCTAAATGTATCTTTTGAACACTTGGTTATCTGCTACAAAATTTTAATACATAAAATACTGTATATAAATAAATGTTTTTTTAAAAAAAGAATTTAGTGTATATTGTTGCCATAGGAAACTCTTGTAATAACTAAGACTTTTATTGGGAAAAGAAAATGAACATTCAGGAAAAACCCTTTAGAAGGTCAGGTTTTGTTTTGTTTTTATAAATGTGCCTTCATAATCTTGGAATCACCACTTGTTTGTTAAGTTCTAGGGGAAGATTACGGGTCACTTGAAAGCATGAATAATGAAGTTCCAACATGTGCTCCAATTATATAGTAAAGGAGGAAGGGAAGAGATGGATAGAGAGGTGCTTAATACTTAATCCGTTGCCCATTTTCTACATTCCAAATCACCTTTCAGGTAGCTTTCTCACATGGGATTCCAAGCATTTGTTTACTTATATCTAGAGGAAAGTCGAAGGCAATTTGAACAGGAAAATATCTGTACAGAAAAGATGACTTACTTTCCTTTATTCGACTGCTTTTCTCTTCAAAATGGCCCTCCTAAATAAAATTTCAGTAGAAAAACTGTATCTGTCTTAAAAAGTAGTTTGGTACCTTGCTTTAGTTTGTGAATAATTACTTATATATTTACTAGAAACAGTTTATGAAATGAAAATATTTTCATTTAGGGAGTATCCATTTAATTAGAATGAAATATGCTGTTTCTAAAGAAAGATGTTTACTTTGCCTGTAAAGGAACATTTCTGCTGATCCCAGAAAGCTGACCTATTGATGAAAGCTTCACGTAAAGCTGAAAGTTGCAAACATAATGCATTTTTACTCTAGAGATGTTTTCTCCAGATGACCAATGAATGCATGTCAGAAGTGTATTTTAGCTTTACAGTAACCATCCTATATTTACAAGAGCCTTCATTGCTGATACCTTAGAGTGAATGGAAAAAATATTTGGCTTTCTTTAAACAAATGGTGTAATTCTCCAGTACTTGGAAAGAGAGCATGGGAAAATGCACTTGAAGATTTTATAGTGCTTTTAAACAGAAATCCTGGAAAAAATAATTCAAACTTAGTAACATTTCCATTTGAGTAACTTCATACAAAATTTCACTATTAAAAATATAGCTGAAACCAGTTGCAAGATTATCTAATCCACTTAGGCTTCAAGGCAAAATATCTCTTCATAAACACAATAAAATGTAATTTCCTACAATACAAACACAATTTTTATATAGGTAGGTTGTGTACAACATACAGATAACTAAGATGGAATCAAATTATTTTGAAATCTGATTATTTATAAAAGGGATGACAATATATCATATTTACTTTGATTTTTCTGTTTTTCCATTTTGAATCTCCAAGTTTTAAAATGAAGACTATGACCAAATATTGAAATAGTCTGTTTAACTCCCTATTCCGCCCCCCCAAACCCAACAAAACCCCTCTATGATTCTATTTCTATTATTTATACTATTTTAAAAATATTTTTTCAGTGCCAGTGAGGGAAGTTTAGATGAGGGCTCCTTTTTCCTGTTCTTAACTGAATGCTGTACCCATTTCACAAATTTTCTGTTATACCTATCATATTTTCTATTGAAATGATTTGTAGGTGACTTTACTTGCAAAGCCCTACTTTTAACTACACGCTTTTTACTGAAATGCCATATGAATCTGACACATGAAATAAAAAACGTTGTGCTTTTCAAGCATGTTCTGCACTTGCGATGGTGGGATGACTGTATCGATGTTCCTGGCCACCAAAAATGTTCCTGCTTGAAGGCACGTGGACAATCTGCCACGGGTGGAGGAACTTTCCAATGTTCTTGTCGGTTCCAAATCGACTCCGCCCGCCCCTCTCTTTCCTTCGGTCGGTCAGGTCAGTCCTCCTGTTTGCACGGTGACGTCCCTTAGCCCACGCAGGGGGATGGTGAGCGTGGCCAGAACGAGTTGGACGTGGGGGGTGGGGGGGACGAGTAAAGGCAGCAGGGAAAGCGGCGCCTCATTCCCGCAGGGAGCCCGAGGTGCTTGCAGGCGGGTTCCTTCTTCCCTGGCGAGCAGCAGGTGGGTTTTGCGCGCGAGCGGCGGACGAGCTCCTACCGGCGCCGGCCGAGGGCTGCCGGGAAGGAACTGGCGCGCCCTTTTGGGGTCACTTGGCGACCCGAACAGAGTGACAGAGCGCGAACGCTTGATTCAGCAGCAGGGTTTTCGGCGGTGGGCAGAGCAGACCCTTTCGGAGGCGCTTCGCGTCTCACTCCTTGCCGAAGAGGAGGGAGGTCTTGGACAAGCAAGCTATTCCCAGGGCGACCGGCTGACTGGATCTTGGCTGTCAGAAGCTCAGTCTAATTTCCCTTGAACAACTGAGAATCTCGTGACGCTTGAAAGGAGGACGGTTTCTGGCTGAAGAATTATGGCGATTGAGGTTGGGAACATTGGGGAACAGTTCTGGCAAAAAGAAATCCATGAGCCCCGTGCTCCATCATGTGCATAGAAACATCTAGTGATGTAATACTTGTCATCTTTCCCACTCAGCTTGTGGGAAATTTACCTAATCAAGACAGGGTGGTGAGGGAAAACTGAAGTTCAAGTCCACTTTCCCCCAAGGAAACTCACTGGGTGATTTTGAGACCCAGAAACAGGTCAGGACACCTGAAGAACCCATTTATTCAAGGTTATTTATTCAAAGAAGACCCAAAACAGACTGTTTGACTGTTGTTTCCAACAAACTTGACTTTCTTGTAATGAGATTTTATACTCGAGGCAGCTGAGTCCCTTCTAGACATCACTGGCATTCATTGGGGCTTCTTCCAGTAGCACTCTCCAGGAGACTGCTGCTCCCTGACAGCCAGATTTTCCAATTGAGCCATCCCTTGTCAGTCAGCTCATTGCTGTTCCACATTGTGGCAACCACATTTTAGGATTTGGAGGCTGAAGTGTTGATTCAGGAACAGGAATAACAGAGCCTGTAGAACTAGAAGGGATGGGATTCAGTTCAGGCTCTGGGTGAAGGCACCTCCTATAGTGCATACAAGTCCATATAAGAAATAGCAGAGTTCAGCTTCCATGCTCTCCAATGTTCTTTCCTGTTCTTCAGAGTGCAGGCTAGTCATGGCACAGAAAATCCCTTTAAGGATACTGCTCAAGTGTCTATAACATTCTTCCTGTGATACTAGGAAAACTTCTATTAACATCCCTGCAATATACATTATAAATCTCTTTCTTCCACCACGTCCCACAGAAAGAATAATGCACAATATTGTTTGTTTTCTTAATACAGTAGGTATACATTAACAATTTCTTCCTATGTTACAATTCTAAATATAAAATTACAGATGTAAACATAACAATGGTTTGAGAGACACCGATAGCACAAAAGAAAGTCTTGGATGTGCTAGATATAAAACATTACAGATACTTTGTCAATAATTGAACTTTATGTGTGTGTGGGTGTGTGTAATCATATGCATCACAAAAAAAACAGGTTAAATAATTATATTATTTTAGTCAAATTATTGCAGTTGTACATATCATTGGATATGATGGAAATATAGATCAACCTGAATTAACTATTAGTGGCATTTGATCATGTACTGAAAAAAGATCTAACTTGAAAACTGAGTATATGCATGTTTTCTCAAAGATGTTAGTACAGAATAATATATTTAAAAAATCAAGTAGGTTTTATTATAATATTTCTCTCTTTTTACAAGATTGGCTTCATAATTGAATTAGAAATCATTTAACTAGAAGCCTGACACATTTTAAACTCTGAGGCTGAAGCACACTATGGACAAGACAATGCGGTTTTTAATTGTGACCCAATATGTATTTCAGGTAAGAATTGGTATCTTCTAATGTTTGGTATTCTTTTTAGCAATATTCAGACATAGCATATAGCATGGCTAGATAAGAACTTTTATTGCTAGAAAGAAGCCACTAAAACAATTATTTGGACAATGTGAAATGAGAGGTAGAAATATACTTGCATGTTCTTCATATATTTATCTGAGCTCTGGATACATACTTCTTTTCACTTAAATCACAACTTTTGCTAGTAGTGGCAACACTAATTTGGTGCCGGGGATCTATGTAGCCTCCATTTCTCATGAGTACCTAAATACCATTTCATGTTTCTTGAAGATGATGTCCCAATAGCTCCTTTAATCAAGATGATGTCATGGGATCCTTGAAAGCGATGTTTTCAGTATATACTGCCATATGTAATGAATATTAACATCTAGAAATTCAGTTTTTTATCCAAACCAGAGAATAAAGACCAACATTTAATGAAGTTCTCCATGATATGAACTGGAGAAATTCATACTCTGAGCCAAATAAATATTAACTTTGATGACATTGCTAAGTGATATGTGCTATTATATATAGTAACAATATTAGTATGCTTTAATATTCATGTAGTGAAATATTAATATTCATGTAGTGAAATCTTTGTCTTTTACTGAAGATAACTAGCAGCCTGAAGTGTGATCAAGTAAAGAAACCTTCTAGAGCTGTTTCATTGGAATGGTCAAAATTTCCAGAAGACCAACATCCAGATTTTTATATTATAACATATCACATCTCAGATGACTTTGCTCAAAAAGTAAGCTAAACTCTTCATTGTTACATTTTTTTAGTGGTGCTGTTCTTTCAGTCTGTAACCCAGGGCATTGGTAGAAAAATGTGTTAAAAATATTGTGGTAGAACTTGTTTGTTGAAAGAATGCTTAGTAGAAAAAAATGTAAGCTTTGAAAAACAAGTATATATCTATAAATTTAACACTGTCATAAGATAATTAATATTTGTAAAAGGGAAAATGGCACAAGGAACATATATTGTTTGATATTATATTAATTTTTTAAAGTAATCAATAATCTTGATGGAATAAACATTGTATTTTATGGACTTTCTGAGATACTATTTCCTGTTTGACCAATTCAGGAGACATATCTTCTTTTCCCACTACAAGCATTCATTCACTTCTATTGATTTATTTGATTAATCAACTGATCTTATCAAAATA